TTAACTCCTTCATGTGACGTTGGTAGTACAGTTCTCTCTTTGTAACCAAAAAAGAACAGAACTCCTGTTAATTCCTTGGACTTTTCCAAATAAAAAAGGTTTTATGCTGCCAATTATCTTTTCAATCTACTTGCTACTACCAATATATGAAAGCTGCCTTTTCTGTTCCCCAGGTACCTGGAGACCAAACTCCAGATCCTCGTACATAACCAGACAAGCAATCTACCACTGAGCTACCACCTCAGACAATTATGAGGTATTCTAGTTTGATTTCTGTTGGTGCAATAAAACACTGACCAAAAGCAACTCAGGGAGGAAAGCGTTTATTTGGCTCACACTTCCAACAAACCCTGCCTTGTGTCAGATCTCCAGAATCGCATATAATAGTTTGCTGATTTTTTTAAGGTACCACTTCCCCATATTAAAAAACAAAATGTCTCTGAGTACCTTTGGCATGTCAGGCTCTAAACTAGGATGTGAAGATTGGAGCACTCTTTCTAAATTCAGACAGAGAGTTACCAACTCTGAGGAATTCAACAACATTCACACAGGTCCATCACATAAGCACAAATATTTCACCTTCTTTGAGCTTACTGCCACTTACTCAAAATGTTAACACTAATAAGAAAATGCAAACTGTTGCACTGATACAGCAAACTGACATGAAATTCACCACAATTACTACCAGAACACACTCTAGCCCACCACTGCTCTCTGTATTTACCCATTCTCAAGTGCATTTACTTGCTACATTCAGGTTTAGAACTAGAAACATGTGTCCTAAACATACTGTACCTTGCAAGAGGGGAGAAGTGTCTGCACCACTGTCCCAATGATCTACACAGAAATGAAAATGGAAAGCTGACGGCAGAGAAGCGGTTCAGGTTCTTGAAGGGGAGGGTGAACTGAAGTTGCGTTCAAGGTCTAACACTTGCTGAGTATGTTCTCCACCAAACAGGAGAAAATTTAAGATGCTTCTCTTTAGGCCACCTATCTGCACCACAGACCACCTATGAGCACAGTCCCTCAGTTGTACAAAGCAAAACTACTATTACTTGGTAAGGGCAGACCAGTCTGAATGTTAAAAACATCTAAACGTTGTAATATATTTTAAGGACATAATCATTCTTAACTTTGAAGTGGAGATGTCAGTCATGATTCTAACAGTGAAGAATCACCCACAATTTTGCTATCAACTATCTTTACAAATGGTCTTCTAACATACTGGAAAGTAATCTTAAACACCACTCTTCAATTTTATTTGCCAATGATCAACTTGCTTAGCACATTCCTTTCCTATAGACAGAAACTGACCTAATTCTGATTTGGCTGAATACCAACAAAAAGGTAGAATACAGTATTTCTGGTCACTCTAAAAATACAATAGCCACCTTTCTCATAAAAAGCACACACAAAAACACTTGCATCAAAGAGTCTGAAAATATCATTCTGTAGTACAACCTAGGCATGTTTAAAATCATATCTATTTCTTTTGAGACAAGGTCTCATGTAGAACAGGCTGCCCAAAAACTCCCTACGTAGCCAAGAATGACCTTGAAGTGCTGAACTTCCTGCTTCCATCTCCCAAATCCAAAACTGCAGGGGCATACTACCACGCCTGCTTTATGCAACATGGGAGGTGGAATCCTAGGCTCCATGCAGCAAGCACTCTACCAACACCCCTGCCCATCATGTGTATTTCTTATGCCCTGAGTAAGAAAGGGCTCAAAATATTTTAGCTTCCAGAAAGAATAAATCCAGTTTTTCACTAAGAACTCTTACCTTACATAGCTTACTCTAGTATCTAAATATGGCTCCTAATTATGCAAAGTAAATGTATCTACTAGCTATGCAAGTAAGTAGCTTGTTGGTCATTACTAATACATCTTCTGTTCTTTAATTTCGGGGTTGAAGAGATGGCTCAGCAGTTAGGAGCACTGGCTGTTCTAGCAGAGGACCCAGGTTTGTTTCCCAGGACCCACATGGCAGCTAACAACCATCCATAACTCCAGTTCCAGGGAAATCCAAAGCCTGTTCTGACCTTCACTCTCATTACAAGATATGGGTACACTTACACACATGCAGGCAGTACACTCATACACATAAAATAAAGGGAATAAATAAAATATGAGTAATTAAATAATTAAATAGCTACATTTCCAACAACTGCCTATATTTTCAGGTTTTTCACTGTAATCCAAAACCATTTTGACTACATAAACCAAAAGTATATCAAATTACAGTGGTTCTACTAAATACAATTTCCTTTATATAACAGGTGTGTTTAGCATAGTCTGATTTAATTAAGTCTGGTTTGATTTTTTTTAAAATAACCTTCCTCATCAATTTGGTCTAACAACCAGCAACTCAAACTTGACTTACAGAACATAGAAAAAAACTGTTCCTAAACAAGGATTATAGCCCTTCCCATGTAAATGCTTTAGTTTATATGCAGGTCAATAAAGAAGCATTATACCAAGTTATTACTATTCCTCAAAAGATGCAGCTCCTGCTCCTACACTTGCTTCAGGGAACATTTCTAGACTTGAAGTCAGAAGGCCTGCATTCAAGTGATTCTACAGTTACCAGTTACACAACCAGGAACATCTAAGCCAAGTTAATACTCTCTAACCTGCCTTCTCACAGACCTTTAAAAAATACCTCATAATATTTTGAGGAGTTTTTTTTTTTTAATCTGCAGTGACAAGCATTTTTTAAAACTGCTTAAGTATTATATATAAATCCCCCAAGTTTTTCTTTTCTAAAAGGTTTGGTTGGAACTTAAATTTTCCCAGCTTCCTTCAATTCACACAAAACTTGAAGCAGTATTGAAACAGCACAAAACTACAGCTATTTCTGCTCCCCACCAAAACCCTAAAGTAACAGAGGTTAGGGGCAGGAGGCTCTCATATCTTCTCAAAAGTAAAAAAAAAAATGTATTCATATTATTAAATTCTAGGTCAAAAGACACAAAGTTGGAGAGAGTAGAGAGGAGAGGGTGATCTGGGGGAGTTAAGAGGGGCTGGGGGTGAATGTGATCAACATACACTGTATGAAATTCTCAAAGAATTAAAAAATATTTTTAAAAGTATGGAACAGTCAGGCATTGGTGGCACTCGCCTTTAATCGCAGCACTGAGAGGCAAAGGTAGGCAGAAAGTTGCAAGATAGAGACCAGCCTGGTCTACACATCAAGTTCCAGGCCAGCTAAGGCTCTAAGGAGACCCTGTCTCAAAAAAAGAAACAGAAGTCTGGAACAATAAGGGACTATATCCCAAGTGAAGGGTGGTTTCAATTTCCTTTCAAAGCCACGGGGCTGGAGAGATGGCTCAGTGGTTAAGAGCACTGACTGCTCTTTGCAAAGACCCTACAAAACGTCCTTAACTCCAGTTCCAGGGGAATCTGAAGCCCTCTTCTGACCTCGGTGGCAAGGCAAGACACCAGTGCACTCACTTACATGCAGGCAATACACTCATACACATAAAATAAAAATAATAAAGTTTTTTTTTTTCAAAATGCCATTAAGTTGGTTTTCCACCCAAGCACATAACAGAAACATAGGAAAGCGGGTGGTCCTTGACCACCTGGCCAGGAACGTGGCCACCTACAGGCACGGAAGGGTAGTGCCCCTAATTAGCTGGGGCCAGATGGAACCACCAGAAAGGGCATCATTCATTTAAGATACTGATCACCTCTGAGGATGAACCCTATCACCGCACAAATCCAGCTACAGGCAAGTGTCACAGTCCGAAGTAAAGACAAAGTCAGTCCTACTTTAAACCCAGTTAATACTGTACCTGAAGAATGACACTTACCCAGGAGTCAATGGCAAGGAATTTCAAAACCTACCCTTTGGGAAAGCAGCAAGCGGAAAACTACCGTAAATCAAAATCTAAAATGAATTATCTTCATTGCGCTTCAGCCGCAAAGCACTATCTTAGAACACTAAATTTCCCTCAAAAGCTTGAGATAAAGCACAGGACTCCTAATCTTAAATTCTAATCTAAGCCCTAACTTTGCTGTGAATAACCTTTAGTTGTTTAATAAACTTTATTTCTTCTGTAAAATAGAACAGTTGGTATTTCAAAGGGGGGAACCAACTGGAAAATTTTTTTAAGTTCTTAAAACACAGCCAATCTTCTGTTACAAGAATTAAAATTATTTGCATAAAACAGCTCAGAAGCAATGCTTGACACATTTTACCCAACACAGTATCAATCTTGTCAATAGAAAAATATATAAAATAACCCATCAAACTGAATCTTTAGTACTTCAAATCTTGTTTTTCATCCAAGCATTCAAAATCTTAATTAGGAGCTACTACTTTAAACCTGTCAGGCAAACGCTGTGGGAAGAATATTCGAGATCTCTTTGCTGATAGCTTCTTCTGTTACTATTTCATTAATCTGGAACACACTTTATATTTATATTGGTTTTGTCACTATTTTCCAAAAGCATTCCTTTCTTTGACAAAAATAATAATCCTGGCTATTAGTACCAAATTACTCAGATGTTTTCCTTTGTTCTCAGTATCAACCAAGCCTCAACATTAAGCACAAAAAACATCAGAAACTATGGCTGTACCTTTGAAAAATGCATTTTCCAGCGAGCTCAACACCAGACTAGTGTTAGCTAGCCACTGTACCATTTGCAAATGGAGATAACAGAACACTGAGGTGTAAATTATCTTAAGTCCTAGAAAAACAGACTTAGGTAAGAGGCAGGATGTGTGAAAAAGAATAACCAAAAGCAGCCCCAGGCCTCCGTTTCTAAGTCATTTGAGGCTCTCAGAGCCTCATTCTCTCATCTGTAAAATGGGAATAATCCCACTTCTCTCCAATGAGGAAATACACAGGAAGACGTGACCTAAAACTTGCAAACAGGACACTGGTTATTTTCTTGTTGCAGGAGCATTAGCTTCCTAACACAAAAGTTATACTCCAAACAGAATTAGCAAACCATTACATTCATCCAAAATCACTACCTCAAAAAGGAACTTGCCTTGGACTGGGTTCTCTTTCCGTTTCTCAAGTTAAACTTCTCCTTCATTTCTTCCAAAATCATCTTCAGTTTCTTTTCTTCAGGTGTCCCTAAGTATTTCTGGTTCACGTGAAGGTAACAATGCCACTTGGCTGACTCAAAGCCCCAGTGGCAAGTTCTCTTGTCAGGTGACCTGTGCGAATGCATCACGAAGGTCTGGGGCGCGAACATTCCACAGCACTCCAGACACTGGATACAGGGAGCATCAGGCTGAACATAGAACTGAGGCGCAAAGAGACCCTGACATTTGCCCAGGCACTCATGCTCCACTTCAAAGGCACTGCCAGTTTCCTTTAACTGGGCCAGAGAGTTCTTAGCAGGAAGTATGCTACCATTTTGAGGGAAAGTCCGTGGTCGCAATAAAGCATTACACAGTCTTTGTGCATCAGTCAACGTGATCAGCCCACAGGATGGGGCATTGAATGGAAGTATTCCCAGGACCTTCAGGATATGAAGCTGGTCTGAAGTACACCTTGAGCAATATATGTATAACTCATCACACACTGTGTTTATTTGCTGGAGTGAAAATTCTCGAAGAACGGAATTTAAGACTTGGGGCAAACAGAGTCTCTTTTCTCCTCCAACTTGAAAACAAGAAATAGACTCCCCTTCCAGAACAGTCTGGGTGAGCTCCGTGGAGCTATCAGAAGGGATGAGCAGAGGGCCCGGGAGAACCTGAGGAGACGGAAGAGGCAGAAATACAGTGGGTGACATGCTTTCTTGGGAATACCGAGCAGAAAATGCTGCTGGTCCCCCCAAAGAGCTCTGACTACTTAAGTGGAATTGTGCCAACGTGTGTTTCAGACTGGGATTTAAATTTAAAGTTTCAGGCACTGAAGTACAGCTGCGCTTGGCCTGCTCGCCATCGCTTTCCATCGGTGCATCTCCATAGTCATCCAAGTGCTCCTTCTTCACGGTCAGCACCTTGCTCGGCACTTTTCCATTCGCATGAATGTCCAACATCATTTTCTTCGCTGGAGGGCTGCCATCATCCCCCACCTCATGCAGTTTTTTATTTGAGCCCTGAACCAAGGAGAAATTTGTCTGTAGGCTCTCCATGGCTACACTGGTGTTTTAAATAATTAAGACTGAGACTGGCATTTTAATTCAGTTGCTTATTTTGAGACGAGTAATATATACAAATACTTATGACTCACTCATGGAAAATTTTGTTTCCAAAGATGAATTTTCTTACCCAATAGTTTTTGCAGTGTGGTTTTGTTTCTGTGGTACCCTAGGATAACACCACTGCAAACATTATAAAATTTCTCATTTTTCTTCTAATAACAAAAAATAACCACACTCCTGAGGAAAACCTTGTTGTCTTGAGTTCTTCGGATATTTCTATTAAAATACGGTTAACGTTTCAATTCAAGATGTCCATGGTTCAGTGCGATGGTTGAGTTTGGTTATTTTGATTTTTTAACCAAAGCATATGTCTTTATGCTATCATAAAATTTAGACCCAAACACAACTTAGCAACTGGATTTAATTTTTGCCAAAAAAGAAGAGGGGGATAGCCTCAATGAAGACAGTAGCCTGTTGTTGTGTGCTGGGAAACTGAAGATTTGTCTAAATCTCCACACCAATAAGAACCACCTCCAGCTCCACTTCTGTAACAAAAAAAAAAAAAACATGAAATGAAAAACTGCCCAGTTCTCTTCAGCGGTTACAGTTCATTCTTCTTTTAATTGATCTGGAAGAGGAGAAAGGGGTGGGGAGAGTTATATTTGAATTTGCTCCAGAGGTCAAAGGGTCAATTTGAAACCAGTTTCTTAATCTTAAACTCAGTTCACTTTACCAAAGGTGACCCAAGTGATTTCTTTCAATCTAACACCAGTTAAGCAGAAAAAAACTTCATTTAAATAGGAAGCAGTTCAGAAGGTGGGCATAGAGAATTAAATATCCCTCTATTTAAGAGGAAGTAGAGTACACAGATTCAGAAAAAAGTAGTATCACACCCAAAATTCAGAACCAGAGGCTTTGAATGAATCTAGCTATGCCATTTTACTTAAAAACTAGTAATCCATTCTTTCATCTCACTTGGGAAAAAAAAAAAAAAGCTAGTTTTAGCCCTCCCCGAAGAACCAGATACATGTTTATCTACCATATGTAACTAAGTTACAGTCTCAAGTGCTTTAATTCGTTTAATGACTATACACTACCTTTCGGAAACGAAGGCAAAAAATTAAACTTTCCCTTTAAAAGGTTAGCGATCTGCTTAATGGAAGCCGAAACCTTTAAGACTCCATGCCTGGAAATTTCTCCATCCTTGAGCAAGACTAATCCGGGACAAATAAGCACAAGGCACACAGACCTCACAAAGAATGCAAATGGAGGAAGAGGGAACCAGAAAGAGTCTTCTCCCACTTCCCTCTAGAGAGAGCCCCCAAAAGAAACCCAGTAAATAGAAACGTTTGCTTTCCAAACTCCCAGCAATTCCTGTTAACGCAAACCCAGAGCGTTACGGACGAAAGCCGCCTGGCCAGCGCACGATGACTCTGGCCACCACAGGGACACCTCAGCCAACGCAGGCCGGGGCGCTGGCAGGAGGCACGACCTAGACCCGGGACACCCCGGGCTCCCGCGGCGCACAACCCTCCGCCCACGCAGGGCCGCCCACCCAGCATCATCACCATCCTGGGGGCAGGGCGAGGAAGCCGGGGTCTCGCGCCGTCCGGGGAGGTGAGAGAGAAGAGGAAGTGGAGGGAGGAGTCCCCACCCCCACCCCAGCCTGGGATCACCCCGGGTGTCCTCCCCACTCCGCCCCACTGCGGGGGCCGGGGTGGAAATCCCCCCCGCGCACTAGGTGCCGGGGAAGTTCTCTACTGTTACCGCGGCACCCCAGGGCTGCCCACCCCGAGCCCAGGCACCCCCCAGGGCAGGTCGGGGGGCCCCGCCGGGATACGCGGGCCGCCGGGACCAACCCGGGGCATCCCAGCCGAGCGCAGACGGCCATAGGATGGCGGCGTGGACCCGGTCTCGGGGTGCCCGCGGCTGCGGTCAAGTGCAGCGGAATCTCCGTCCCGGGGTCGGCGAGGCCAAGACACCCGTAGGACAGCACCCCCCCCGGCCCCGGGACCCCGCGCACCCCGGACCCTCGACCCCCGCCCTGGGCGCCCGAGACGCCAGCCGCACCCTGCGGAGTCCCCATCACCTCCCCCCCGCGCCGCCCACAGGGTGCGCGGAGGCCGCGTTCCCCTCGCGCCGCGGGGCCGCACCTGTGCCCGCCGCCGTCGCTGCCGCTCACCCGCGCCCTTCGCAGTGCCGGCGCCGCTCCGAACCCCACACACATCGCTACACACAGCCTCTGACGTCACCGGGCGCTCGGCCCGCCCACGTCACTGCGGAGACACACGGCTTCCCGCAGACGCCGCCGCCGTCTCCGGCCGCCCGGGGGAGAGCGAGGGCGACGGGCGGGGGGAGGGGAAGGGAGCCGAGCCAGGGGCGCGCGGCCCCGCGTCCGCCAGTCCCTCGGGGACGCGCGCGCCTTCTGGCCTATTGTGGCTCCTTAGGGCTCTCGACGGGCCCCGCGCGCGCCTGGCGCTCCCAGCCTCGCGCGCACACGCGCCCCTGTCCTCGTCCCTGAGGCGCGTGCCCGGCGCTCCTGCCCCGGCGCGCCGTCTGGGCGACTGGCGCGCGGCGCTGTCTGCGGTACGCCCGGCGCAG